CAGTTTTAGAAAACTTTAATCCATTTGGCTGTATTCACCCAAACCGAGAATTGTCATAAACCGGGTAACAGAGCCTCGTCTGCATCGGCAGTTTTTCCTCCGGTAACAAACCCCATTGTTTTTGAAGAAGGAAGGACAGAAGCATATGGTCTTTGATAGATATTGGACTGAGTTCTCTCTCTGGATGGCCTGGGCATATAATATTATATAATCAAAGAGATGCTTTTGCACAGACATTTGGTTTGCTTTAATCTTGACTACCAAGCAAAGCAAAACAACTACAAAAATCCCAGAAAGACCTTTTTTGGGGGGGGAGAACTCTGATATAGCAGCAAACCATAATGCCTCTTGCGCTCAGTAGCTTCGTATTACTGCTCGCGTTTTATTCTGGCATCGATGGACTTGCTCGGGTTATCTTTCGAAAATCAATCTCTGTCCTTTTTCTTTTGTAGCCCGGTTTACAACGGCCGGCTTGACGAAACCGTAAAAAGCTGCCTCGCTTGGAGGTGGGCGGCTAACACGGAGCTGTGAATTCTTCACTCAGACGTTGCTGGTAATGGGCTTTGGGGTGTCTGCCCCATTAAAAGGACGGTGGACTTGACTTGCAAAGGTCAAGTCAGTAGATTTGAGCTCTGCTGAATAGAAACACGCCCGAGGTAAACAGACTCTTTACTTTCAACTTGGCCTTGACCTTTAGATTACGTCTGACCTTTATGCAAAAGAGCGTCTTGAGACTTTAGTGCGTTTCGCCCATGTCTGCAAACATTTGCCTCTGGTTAAATGGGACCACCGCCCTCTTACCAACTCGGAGGATGGATTTGGAAACAAGAAGGGAAGTGGGGGAGGGGAGGGGAAGAAAACACGGCAGCTTTTAAAAAATAGTCTTGACATGAGCCTAGCCTCGTCTTAAAAGAGAGAGGTAAAAAGCAGGAACATTGGCTAGCAAAAAAGAAACCCAACTCAACTTTGGCTAAACTTCCTGGTGAGCTCTTCAGAGAGTCTGACCCAAAGTGCCAGGCCATGGTTTGATCTCCAGCCTTTGTGTTTGCGCGTGGTGTGAACCCACTCCTGGTGCCACGGGCCCAGTTGCAAAAGTCCTCCTGGGTTCTGATGGGAGCAGGGACGCCTCCCTTGGAGGGGGCGAATTGACAGGTGGTTTACATTTCTCAAGAAATAAAATGTCTTTCCACTGTGAATTCTGCCTGATCGTTTCAAGGCAGGGTTCCATTCTCCTGAGCCATTTATTTAAAAGGGGCTACTCGTGTGAGTACAGTGGGAAAGAACTTGCTTGTGAGGATGATTAATGGTAAAAAAAAGTGTCCCATTCAACCGCTTACCTAAAATATCTAATCGCTGGAATGCACCGACACAGAGCAATGGATCTAGATAGAGGAGAGAGTGTTATAAACAATCTTTTTCAATGATTCCTTCGCTAAACTCTTTAAGGGTGTCATGTTTTTGGCTGACACTTAACGATTATTTAAAGCTTTTGTCAGCGACCAGTGCTTTTGTAAATGCCCCCAAATATGGTTGCAATAAATTACACAACGCAAAACTTTGTATGAAAAGAGCAAGTCTCCAAAGAGAGCTAAGAACAAAGTCATGATTTAAAGCCCTTGGAACAAAGTTTTAAAGGTCTAAGTGGCTAGGCATTTGAAAACTTAAGCCGGACTGATGCGCCGAAGAAAGACCTCACTAAAAAACGTCCCCTCATTAAAAGCTTGGCTTTGCTTCCGCTGCGTCCATCTCCGTGTTTAAAACACTCAATTTGTAAAACTCTGGGACATGGTTAAAGAGTGTGTTGGTGTTTCATGGTTGGCGCGTGGGAACAGGATAGTCTAAACATGAGGATCTTCAGAAAGCAAAAGTCTATCTGTAGGGCGGCTCGACTATCCAAAACTTGCTCTTTGCATTTTAAAAACAAACATGGCAAAAAAAAAACAACCCTAAAAGAACAAAATCCACCCAGACTAACCTCAAATAGTTATGTGAGGCAAGCCTGTCTGGAAATGCGAGTGGCTGCATGAATATTATCCTCTGGGCAAAACAAAGAAGTGAAATAAGAATCAACCAAAAGCTTTTTACAAAAGGAAAACAAATACATCTCTCTCTGTGCGTTATAATATACCCACGTATTGGCATCGTGCGTACATGAATAGACAAGATTTATTATACTAAAAGACAATTATTTATTCACATTTGTAAAAAAAAAGACAAAGATTTGGAACGTTTTTAATTAATTAATTCAGACTTGTATATGTATGAGAGCGCGCGTATATATTATGCATTCATTCAAAACCTTTCAATCTTTGCTCTTTTTCTCTCATACACACATGCACGTCTAAATTATGTATCCCTTCAAAACCTTGTCCAAGCCCCCTCTCTTCGTGCATGACTGAATTATCTACCCACCGATGCGTCTACACTGCACTGTTATTTCAAAATAACAATGCCAGCGCGTTTACACTGCAATTCTGTTATTTCAAAACAATGGATGGCTTATTCCGAAAGCTCTAAACCTCATTCTATGAGTAATAACACCTATTCTGAAAAAGCTATTTGAAAATAAGGTGTGTGTAAACACTCCACCGCTGCTATTTCGAAATAGCCCCTCACCAGAGCCATTCTAATTACGTTATTCCTCCCCAGTGCCTCTTGGGGCTCTAAATGGAGATAGCAAATCTACACTGCAGGGAATCCTCACAAGTAGAAGCCTGATGTAATGTGCTATTTCGAAATAACCTGTTTCAGAATAGTGATCTTACTTCGAAATAGCCATGCTGTGTAGAGGTGCCTAGAGATTACAAGCGGCAGCCCATCCCGGAGCATCCCTTTGAAAGCCCTCGATTCCTTTAAAAGTGCAGTTGTGTTGGCTGACACCGAGTTCAGCTGTGCAATGCCATGCCACCACCCAGTGAAAATCAGAAAAAGCTGTGTCTGGTCTGGATTAATGCAGCTTAAAAAAAATCCCCCCAGACTTTCCTTCTGCACATAGTTAATGCAAGAGGGTTTTTCGGCTCTTGCAATTATATGTCAGACCCAGGGTTTTGGAGCAGCGGTGATTGCTCCCACCCTTTCCCCAGCATTTTATCCTTTCCTTCATGGCTTTCCCCTCCCTGCCTTCATTCTTTCTCTCCCAAGAGACTATTGTCTTTTGCATTTGTTATGTAAACCCTCTTCGCTCGCTCGCTGCTTTAAATAAAAACATATTTAAAAAAAAACAAAAATAATTGAATGAACATTTTTTTCAGGCGCAGAGAGGGGAAAGAGACACATGCACTGAAGCAGTCAGAAACCAGCGCGTCTGGCGAGGGCCTTTCTGAAAGGCACCAACGTGCAAAGGCTTAAATCAACCCGTTCGGGTTCGACTGGTGTGGAAACAAGGCTATGCTGAATTCTGAGCATGTTCACACGATTGTTCTGTCTCCCGGGAAAAACCTTCCCGCATAGATGGAGGTTTTTTCCCCTTGGCGTTTTAAGTGTATTTTCTAAAGCAAAAGTAGATCTGTCTGAAAGAAAGCGGACAATGAATTACAGCCCTTCCAACTGTCTCTCCTCTTCTCGCCGGGAATCTTCCCCCACCTCGCTCCTTCTGGGCCAGATGCACTTTGAAAAGGAAAAACTCCCTCCCCCCTC